AGGGGGGGTGACTAGTGACAGGGGGGTGACTAGTGACGGTGGGGGGGTGACTAGTAACAGTGGGGGGGTGACTAGTGACGGGGGTGACTAGTAACAGTGGGGGGTGACTAGTGACAGGGAGGTGACTAGTAACAGTGCGGGGGTGACTAGTGACAGGGGGGTGACTAGTGACGGTGGGGGGGTGACTAGTAACAGTGGGGGGGTGACTAGTGACAGGGGGGTGACTAGTAACAGTGGGGGGTGACTAGTGACAGGGGGGTGACTAGTAACAGTGGGGGGTGGTGACTAGTGACGGGGGTGATTAGTGACAGAGTGAGGGGTGACTAGGGGCAGGGGTGACAGGGGGTGACTAGTAACAGTGGGGGTGACTGGGACAGGGGGTGTGACTAGTGACAGTGGGGGGGGTGACTAGGGAGGGGGTGATTAGAGCCTACCTGTGCTTACTCTGCTCTCCCTGGCTGCTGCTCCTTCCCCTCGCTGGGCTCTGTGTGTGAGAGGCGAGTACAGGAAGTGATGTCACTTCCTGTCCCGCCTCTCCCATCACACAGAGCACCGCGGGACTGGAAGCAGGAGACCTGGCAGCGAGGGAGAGGAGGTAAAGCTGCCAGGTCTCCATGGGGGGGGGACTTACAGGGCGGTAGGTTGTGGGGCCCCAAGCTGCATCAGGGGCCCCACAACCTATCAATGAAATAGTTTTATTTTTTTTAATTTTGCCGTTCCAGTTGGAGAGATCTTTGATCTCTCCAGCTGGAGCATGGCTGTGCGGCCGGGCCCCTGACTGCCTCGGGCCCTTGGTCCATGACCGAAGTGCCCGAGTGGTCAGTCCGCCCCTGCTCCAGATAGGAATCCCGTGGAGCCCATTCGTATGAAAACTGACTTTGTGAACACTTTGGCTCCACAGCCATTAGTCTGTGTGCATAGGATCTGAGCGCTATTCGGTACTTTGGTGCGCGCAGATCCTAGCTATCTGGGGACATGTTGAATGCCTGTAAAATGTTATAAAATGTACCAGTTATGTATTTTTATGTCTTTTGTTATTTTCATCTAAAATGGCGTTTAGGCTCTGTCCTGGGAGATAATTGAATTACTTCACAATTATCTCTCAGAGCAGAGGGTTCTGGGAAAGAAAAGGGGAATGGCTAAGTGTGTACCCTGTGATTGGTTTCTACAATGTCTTTGTCACAGTCTTCCATCTGGTCCCCTAAGGGAGTGTCCACCAGGTGGGAGACCTGCATAAATACTGGGCAGGTAGCCCTCATTAAACAGACCACTCCTTGGCCCTCAACACAGAGCTCTGTCTCGTCTTTGGGGGGATTTACTGTATGCTGTTAGAGACTGATTGCCAGGAGTGTAAGCCGCTTGGGCGCTTTTCCTGTTCGTCTGCTAGCAGCTATTCGTGAGGTTCCAGTTCGGGAGTTTGGAGTGCTACTTTGCATGCAGTTCTGGAGTTTGGAGCATTCCCTTGTATGCAGTTTGAGAGTTTGAGGTTCTGCAGTACCTGTGCCTGTATCTCTGAAAGGGGAAGATCTTCTAAATGGTGGTGTAACCCTTTTATTCCTGGGGGTGCCGTTACACAGTTCATCTTTGGGATCCATCTTCATGATGTATTTGTGAATGCTCTGTTTCTCTTCCTCATAACTGCGTGTTTGTGGTACCCCCTGGTACTTGTAACTGTTCTCTTCATCTCATATTTAACCCTCTGGTACTTGAACACCTTCTATCATGATCATCTTCCCTCTTTTTGCTGTCATCCACCTAAATGTATCTAGTTTGTATGACATTCTGATGTCGTTGCAGTATGTGCAAATTAGGTGGATCGGTGACTTCTATAGTTGTTTTGCATCTGCTCATCAAATTCTTGATGCTGGATCTTAGTGTCTTGCTTACCTTCTATAGTGTCAAGCATTACAGTATCCATGTATATGTCAACTTGTCATAGACTTTCTTGTAATCGATCCAGGCTGTGCACAGAGTGGTTTGCCTGGTCTTAGAATCCTCCTTTTAGCTTCTTTGTGATTTTTCATAAGTTCTTAGTTCTTCCTTTTTCCTTTTTTTATATAGAGTTTTATGGCACTGACACATACTGAGTTTTTTGATTATCTTAAGATACCTGCTTTTAAGTTTCTATTTTTATACTTTTTATAATTTTTTATAATAGTTTTTAGTTAATATTGTGCTTTTAAGTATATTGGTGATATTCGTCTATAATTGATATCCTTAACCTGGTATGAATTTTATTTTATTCATTAACCTATTTTTGTCCTGCAACGGATTTTATTCCCTATTTTAATCAAGTTTCACTTCTTCCTACTCTTAATAGCACGTACCCATACTTCATGTATTTTATCTTATATAATTTATAATCCATAGTTTTTAGGTATTATGGTACTTTTAAGTATAAGGGTTATATTCATCTGTAATTGATATCGCTATCCTGGTATGTTTTTTATTCACTTTTATTTATCTACTTATTTTTGTCCTGTGACGGATCTTCTTATTTTGATCGAGTTTCTCCACTCAACTTCTTCCTACCCTTAATAGCACGTACCCATACTTCAGATATTCTACTTCATACAATTTTTTATTTAATTTATATTTTTACTTCACTTCATATACTGGGTATAAATTCCTTGGCTTACCCAACACGTACAGTTTATCCATTAGACACCAGCACTTTCCACTAACACACATAAGAGTTTCACAGGTCAGTGTGTATTAGACCAGTACCTATGTTTATATGAATGAAGCGTCCCCCTGTTGTGTTTTATTACATATATTGTTTATTAACATCTATGTCTCGTTTCAGAAAATTGAACACAGCCAATACATCCTTCGTCTCAATATATATTTTGTATTTATATCTTTTTTGGTATGATTATGTTTTAATAAGGAATCAAATAATTATATAATAATGATTTAAGAATGATGACTTTTTGAAAACAATAACATTTTGTCCATATTCAACAATACCATCCATATTTTATTTTACTATCTAAGATCTGTAATGTGGTTAACTGAGTTTGAAGAGATAATATGCATACAAAATGTAACATCCTATAGAAAACAGATCATGCTAAGCTAAGATGCAACACTGATGCAATTTTTAATTGATTATATCTTGATGTGATGGCTGCAAGTGGAAAGTCACTATCTATATGCATTATCATTTTTTGTGACTAGACTGTTTTTTGTCATTACTATATAGGTGTTACAATGTCAATGTGCAACAGCTTTATTGGAATTAAGACAAGAGATGGATATTCCATATAAGTTTTTTATTGTATCAGTTTCTTGTTGTATCAATTTTTTGTAAAATCTTTATTATATCAATCTGTGCCTGGGAATAAGGTTATTTTGGTTTTTTTACCTTTAATTGACTGGTACTTTTACTGGGGACTCATTTTTTTAACTATATTTTTAACTATTTTGGAATAAATTAGATTTTTATACTCTCAGTTGTTTTCAGCGATATTTTTATATTGCCTATTGCAACCAGTTTATGGTACTGGTTCTGCTTGATTACAGCAAGTATCAGACTTGCTTGGAAATAGTCAGTACACTTTTAGCATTTGTATGCTATCTGGCTATTGCATCTTTCACTCTGATGGAAGTATAATATTTGGCAAGAGGTTGCATTTTACCCTGGGGTATTTCTTTTTCCAAGGTAAAGGACACCTATGCCATACATATATCTTTACAACAATTTTTGGTACCAAGACATCTATGTGTATGTTGTAATCATTTTATATTCATTTAAACACATAAGTGTGCCATTTTAGAAAGAGTTTCATACATACTCATTTTAATAGTAAGCTCCTGGATACATGTTGCTATCTTTATAGTACAAAATATTTTATGTATACTGTTTCTATAGGTTTCTGGTGAATCCCTATATCTTTCCAGTTTCAGAGCTTTCTATACACAGTCTCATTACCTCTTCCTTCTGTTTATTCTATACGTAGATATCAGATTTCTATTTTAGAATCCTGTATGACTGATTAGTCTACCAGAAATTTGTGTTTTGATCTTATGGTGTTGTTTCCTATCCCCTTTTGAGTATTGCTCATGTCCTGACTCATATACCCATCAATCTTGGAGGTTATGATGCCTGATAGGACCTTGCATGTTGTGGGGAGGCAAGTGAT